CCTTAAGTTCCGAACGGCAGGTCGACCCACTCATCGAAGTGTGGGCTGCCGGACCCGCTTGGCTGGTGAGCGTTTCATTGTACACCGCTTACCCGCGCTAGCACGACTGTCCGTAAACAAGGTGACGGGTCGGTGTGTTCTTCAGCTAGTCGGTCGGTTTGTCAAGCGGTCGGTTTGTCATTCAGAAAGACAGTCCGAAAATTTTTTCTTCACCCGGGCGAGCCACGAAATTGAAGCAAACCGGCACCCGACACTCGAAGAGGGACGTCGGAGGCTCGTCACTGAAATGGCATGATAGGATTGTGAAGGAAGCATATCCGAGCAAAAATCGACCCTCAATCTCTTTTGCCAGTCTGAGGCGGAAGGCATCTGATGCTAAGTGCGACCGGTGTCAACGACAACATTATCGTTCCTCTTTTGATGAGCTCCCGAGTGCTTGCTCAACTGGGCATTGTTTCTGGCGTCGATGAATTCACAAATACATATGTATTATTGTCGGTCTACAATGACTTCGCGTGCTTGTCTGGGGCGCTCCGGATGAGAACTACGCACCAATGTGGCATCGTGTCTACAGATACATCAGACAGTCGTCAGGCAGACGAGCGAGCGGACAGGCGCGCCGGCAGGCCGCGTTCTAACGGTTCGTTTGCGTGTTGGCGGTTGCGGGCGAACGTCAGACGACAGGCTTCAAGTGACCATTGCTTCTGCCCCTGCGGTCGCTGATATTTCCTTGACTTCCTCCCTCTCTAGTGAAGACAGGCGCCGACCGGCTCGATGGATGGCTGGCTTGCTTGCTCGCTTCCTTCCATCCATCGGTTGAATGGACACAATATACAATACTTGTTCTGCCGATCCGTTGTATGGATGCTTGGTTGCTCGCTTGCTAGCTAGCCGCTTCGCTTGCTTGCTCGGATGGTCGGACGGCTGCTGACCATATCGTCGCTGACCTCCTCCGGCAGCAGCGGCAGCCACAGCCGCGTCGCAATGGTGGCAGCGTTTGTGACGCTGTCGTGGCTGCTGGTATCACAGTCGAGCTGGATCGCCGCCGCGCCGGTCGATCGGCTCGCTCGACTGACTTACCACTCGACTGCACGATGTCAGCGGTCGCACGACCGCGCCCGTGTCTCGGTACCCAATGATCAGCAAAATACCTACTACGTACCCAGTGTAGCGACCACGTAATGACGAGACTGAATTAGTATTAAGCACGAGAGATCATTCCGTAGAGAAGGCATGTGATATCCTGTTTCATAAGCGTGGTTCCCCGCAGTGCATATTCCATGCTCGGGGGCCTTGGAATGGACACACATGGACGTGAACAATGAATCTGAGGATCTCAGACCGTGCATATCTCCTGAGCGAATCTTCGGGGATCGATCGGAAATTCGCAGCCGAATCGTCTACCGAAACGCCTGGGACATACATATGTACATATCTCGGGCAACTCGACGTATGAGATGCAGGGTCAGTACATTTCGAGAGGAGCGTCTCTACAGGGTCGAGTCTCGTTCCATCGAGCTTACGCGCCCGAAATCAGCTCCACTTGTGAGCTCCGATTCAGCAGACGAATGAATCACAGATCTGCCGGGTACTCAAGAAGGATGAATGTTCGGAGCGTTCCTGACAAGGGTGGTTGCTGCACACGCAACTGACCGCTCGTAACCTCTGCGAACTCTACAGCGTAATCGAATCAAATGTCTACTTCGATGTCTGCACCGGTGAAGGGAATCTGTCCGTTTTCTCCTCATCGCTGGATGGCGATTTGAACTTTCCTCAGCGAAAGTGTCTTCCGATTGTTGCTGAAGCAAGCAGGTCACACAGACGCCCGCTCTCTCGCACTTTCGCTCGATACTTCGCTGCTCGCTCTATTGGATGTTGGGTGGCATGTCTGGGCCCTTCTTCCACTAACGTCTGTCCGTTCGGTTGCATGGTTCATCCGTTCGCTCTCCTGCGGCAGAAGAGAAAGAAAGACGCTCACCAAAATGGGTCGGCGAAACAGAAAGTGGTCGCTAATTGGCACACGAATCTCATAGCTTGCCTGAGAAGATGAGATCGGACCGCCTAAATGCAGCCGGTTCTATTACTGCCTAATTGCCGAATGGATCGCCTGATTACACAGGGGTAGGAGGTACATTTACCCGAGAGCGCTGCCGATGAGAAAATACACATGAATCGGCTTCGACGGCTCGCAAACCGACGTACCGAGAAATTCCAGCCTTATCGTCCTTAAACCGGGCAGGAGAATATTATGCGAAGATCCTTGGGCTTGAAGGGCGCGATGGGCAAATTCTGATGGCTTTTGCAATCTCCATACCCTATCTATGAGATATCGCTGTACGATCTCTCAAACTCGCGTAGAAACAGAACGCTCCGAATACCGGCTCGGTCCATGATGTGGTTCGCTGCATCCCAACTTCGGAACCGCAATGTTCTGGATTCCGCTGCTCGAGGAGTTCCTTCTTATTCAAATTCTTCGACCATTACCGTTACAAGAAAGAGAGCGTCTGTTCCGCTGCAGAGCGTCTGCCTGACCGCATCGATGTCGGATGCGGAACGTCACCTTTATCAATTTACGTTATCGAGCACCGAATCCAAAAGTGCAGCGAGTTCGTGAAAGAGCTTCATGTTTCGAAGAGCGGACAGGGCAAAACGGAAGGAGCACGATATATCGACTTCGCTCCTCACTCCCCGTGTCTCTCTGAACACCGGATCTGGGGCTGTTCAGCTCGGGAGCCTCCCGAGAAGAGCTAGCATCGGCGAACTGTCGACGATCAAAATTCTCCGGTCCACGTCGAGTCCACGAGAGTCGGAAACCTCCTTTACCCAGCTCGATCCTCGCTCGAAGCTGCGCCAGATATCGTCCTCAGGCTAAGAATCGACAGTCTCCATTCAGAATCGAATTATTGACTGTCAATCATTACGAATTCAAGGGTGCGTAGTTTCGCAAATCTAGACGGGAGCGACACGACATTCCCGAGGTTTCATTGCGGGCTGCTATCTCATTGCTTATCCGGGTCGAATGCCCAGTCAGATATGTGCGATTGCGCCGGTCCCTGCCGGAGTCGGAGTCTTCACGGTCGAACTCGAGTTGAAGGCTGGACGTACAGAGTCCGCGCAAGATTCTTCGGGGTAGAAAGAGCCGCGCATCGCATGATCGTGAGAAAGCTCTGACGCGAACGAAAGCGCTATCAGGACCGTGATCGGAAACCTGGATTTCGGGGCTCCGAGATGGCTCTCACAAAGCTCGTGTGATTGTTTCTGTCGCTCGGTCGGTCTCACGCAGCTGAGAAGAGGACGTCATTCAGACGGGAGGGAGATCCGACGCAGAGGGAGCCCCGGAACGCGTCATGACTCGGCTCAAGCACGCAGCTGGTGTTCGGGAGCGTCTGCTATGTTCGGGATTTGTGTGAACATCTTATTGGCCATATAGCAGACCAAAAGACCCATCTTATGCTGAGTCCTCTGTCGGAGACGAATGTGCAGTGATCACAGCTCTAGGGATGGATTCGATGCTCCGACTAGACACTATAATCGTTCTACCGCAACTATTAATCTACCCGGAGCCGCTATGATGCGATCGTTCGCCCGGAGACCGAAGTTCTGTTACGTACCCGTTGTGACCTAGAGCAATTCGTCAAGGGTTTCAGTATTCCCAGAATCCGTGGAGCGTCAGCCGGCTCGGAATGACACCGTTGCAAGCGGATGAAACCGCTAGCTCACAATGCGGTATCACAGAAACAGGAACAAAATGCCTTTGAGGCGCTTCCTCGACCTGCACCCACTGACGTCGCCGAGCGGATTCCACACGGAGGAACTGTCAAATTCGGTCTTCTATAGGAGCCACAGCAGCCAGAACGTAGTCGTGGACGGTGAGCTCCTGTATTGCTTCGAATTTGAGATTGTCTCCACTGATTGTTCACGTGTCCGTTCATGCGTTCTGTAATGAGAGAAAAAATCTGTAATCTTGAGAAATCGCCTGAAGGTGTTGATTCGAACATAGTGCGCTTCATCGGTCCACGGAAGGATCTTGACGCGAGGGGAGTCGGCATACACTCTGAAACTGACTCGCCTCCTTTGACGGATGGTTTGATCGAGTTCTAGACCGAATGCTCGTTCGATCGGAAGCAGATCAGAGTCCCCATCGGAGAAATCCCGCCGCGGTCAGTAATCCCTCGAATCAGCCAACGCGGACACTTTCGGAACGTGACCAGAAATGAAATTGTATCGACCCCACAAGCGATTTTCTCAATCCTGTAGTTTGCCTCTCCGGCTATTCGATACAAAGGCGCTCGCTCAACAATGGCTCATTGTATCTTCTTCCCAAGCCTTCCCTCCTCACGGAAACTATCATCTGGTGCTGCGAAATGGGATCCTCCACCGGTCCGAATTGGAAAGATGAGCTCAATCTTGAGACCAGTGGGTCGCCCTCGCTGCTGCCTACTATCCGGATCCGCGTCTCATTGGGAAAAAATTCCGCCAGCGATATTTTTCATTGTGACCGCTCGCTGCTGACTTTGTTTTGTTTCGGCGTATCCTACGGTCGTCGGAGCTCGACGCCCAATGCGGAAGAGCCATCGCCAGAGCAACCGCTGTTGCAGTCGGTGTTGTGGCGTCAGCGCTGGCAATAGACAGGCATCGGCGAACGAGCCGCGGCAGGGTATCACCGACCCTTCCGACGGCTTCTGATAGCATCCACAACAGCGCATTCAATCTCGACTAGGAGAAAATCTCGTTGTGAATTCGGAACCCTGATAGATCAGGGACATTTGTCGAGCGCGAACCCACGGAACGTATCGCGTTCTGATCGAAGTCGTCGTTCGGGATTCGAATGAGGCACGTTCGAAAGTTTCGAATCCCTCCCGACATCTCACACGCTCTGGGGAAAAAATCCTGAGCAGGCGAGACAGGCTCGCTCGGTGTCAAGCACGGTTATTAAGCTGCGCACTTATAAGTGATGATCTACATTCATGCCTTACTCATCTTTCGTTTTCACATTCCAGTTAAAGAAGGCCATGTCGAAGGCCACAGCGTCACACGAGCGAATTCTACATCGTCGCTTCCGACTGGAGGTCAGCAGGCCTCATGGAAGAGTTCTTCCAGTTTGGGTCCAAGGACAAACTCGTCAAATACCAATTTGCGCGAGAAGGATGCGAAGAAGATGGTTTCAGGTATGTATTTCGGCTTCACCCTGTCGGGGAATGACAGCCGACGGGCGCTCCTGGCCACGAGCCTCAACTCTTTTTCTTCCCCCATAAGGTTCCATGGCCGGCTCCCAGAGAGGTCGACGAGGGGGTATCACGACAGATGATGCCAGTGATTTCGGCCAATTAGCTTTCGATGCGCAAAGCTCGTGGCGCAACTCGAAGGGGCGGCAGGCTCTGGGCCGGAAAACCGGTCTCCTTGCGACAGCATATAGAACGGTGAGCCGCGATTGAGTCTCAGAAAAAGCGTCGACGGGAGCCGTTCGCTGCTAATCAATCGAGACTGAATCTCACTATCGGAGAGAGTACCGACACCGAACTAAGCCGATTTTGAATATGTTCAGGACAAGGCATCACAAGATAAGGAGGACATGCGCGTCTTGACAGAGCTCCTCAATCAATATGCGCTGACAGGGATACCGGCGCTGTCGTTGAGCGTGCAAGGACAAATTGGAGGTCATTTCGAGGAAGATACGCTCGCCATGGAGGATTCTTGGCGACAGCTCGTTAATGATCCTGAGGTATTGCCCATGCATCAGTCCGGCGGAACCCTGACCGTCTGGCTCCGATGTCGCTCTATTACGCAGCTGTAGTCACCCCTGAATGTTCAAAGTTCGCGAAATTATCGTTGCGTTCCACTTTCACAGGTTCTGGACAAGCAATGCCAATCACAGCAAGAGGCGCTTTGGGAGCTTTTGACTACCGAGGCGGCGTACGTCAAAACGCTGAAAGTCGTAGTGGAGTTATTTCTCTGCACTCTATGCAATCTACAAGATAACGGACTCTTGAACGAAGTGAGCTCGTCTCCCCGGTTTCGGGCCTCATTGAACATTGAAACGGAATTCCTTGCTCCAAACCAGCCCGATAATCGTAGCGTGGCTCGGATTCGCCTGCAAAACGGGCGAGACATGATCTAAAGTTATCTGACCGCCCTTCCAGATCGACGTGGATCGAATGTTCAGCAACATTGTTGACATTTTCTCGGTGAATCGATCTTTTTGGAATACTTGCCTCTTCCCCATGCTGCGCGACAGTCGAAATCAACGGATCCCCCTGAATCCCCTTCGATTGAGGGATGGCTTCATCCGTTTCGAAGAACGCTTCGAGCCCTACGTGAAATACTGCTTGGAGCAACAGACTTGTCTTGCCTACATCAAGGAGAATCGCCACGAATCAGTGCTGTTCAAGAGTTACGTTGCGGTGAGTGGATTTCGTTTCTGCTTCACGCTCACTAGACACTATGCGCGTAGAGATTGAGGAAGCGCGGAGAGATTGAGGAAGCGCGGAGAACGGCGGAAGTGGTGAGCCCGGACGAATAATTATGCAATGAGTTCTCTCCGATCCACCTTATCGGAAATCGAAAGGCAGTTCCCTCCCATGTGGAATCTATCCGCTTACAACTCAGCAGATTTCCGCCGCTTCCGAGGACCTCTCGCCGCCAAACCATACGTCGTATATTCCCTGATAGAGAAGACTAACATGTTTCCCCGGAAACTTCCGAACCCGGGAGGATCCACCGGTTCTGAACGCGATTCCTCCTGTGAGATCGGAAGGAAGAGATTTTTGCGTCTCCGAAAGAGGAGCGCTCCCGCTGATTCGCAGCAATTCGAATGCGGCACCTCTCTCAGTTGGTCACGGATCATATGTACATGCCTGAATCGGGGGGAACACATCATGGCTCAGGGATCATCATTTCTTCAACGAGCTCGGCAATGATCATGCTTCTCCTTGCAGTGGTGTGAATCTCAAAAGGAATGCAGTCGACTGCGCTTCTCAGACCTCCTGGTGAAACCGATGCAGCGACTTACGAAATATCCCCTGCTATTGAAGGCTATACTCAAAAAAACTGATATTGCCGAGGTGAGAGGCGGACTCATCGAAATGATAGACGGTGTGGAGCGCTTCGTTTGCAATGTCGATGCCCGGTGAGTGAGCGTTGAGAAAATATCTTCAGGAACGAGAATGAGCCTCCACAGTCGGGGAATCCCGACGAATCGCGAAAAGAATCTAAACAGACTACTTGACTCCAGGCTTCGTCAACGGCATGAACTTGATCGGCTCGAAGCCATCATAGGTCGTATAGAGTCCTACGAGCCATTCGATACCTCCAATGACGAGATAGAGAAAGCCTTGAAAGAGGCATGTATGCTTGATCTCACTTGTGCAATGCCCGGATGCATTCCACAACAAAACCGGCACCTTTTGGCTGAGGTAGGTCACCCGAGGCAATCAATAGGGAGAAGCACCGGAGCTGAAGCTCTCTGCAAGTGTGTCCGCATATTTGGACACCGGGAGCATTTCTGGTATACGACATAAGGCTGAGAGATTATCCTGATTCCCAGGTGCCAAACATCAAACTACGCGACGCTTCCAGCAGCGGCAAAGTGGACGTGCATTGTTTATTACTCACGGACATGCTTCTGATTTGTAAATCCGTTGGAAGAAAAGGTCACGACAAACTGAAAGTGATTCGTCAACCGTTTGTTGTCGACAGGATTGTCGTGCGCGATCTCCGAGACGCGTCTCTTCTACTTGTTTATATGAGCGAATATCGGGTGGCGACCTCGTACCTTCAATTATTTGGTCAAGAGATGACTTTGAGAATATTCACGGAGCAGTTGAAGAAAGCCCAGGAGCAGTTCGGAAGAGCGCAAGCCTTCGCACACCGTCACGCGCATACGGGCGTTGTCTGCCTACCTGGACTAGGCGATGACGATGAGGAGGATCTTTCGCTACGGCCATCACTATTGACAGCGGCTACCCGCTGCTCTCCTCGTAGCTCAAGTCATTCGAGTCTCGTGCATTCTCATTCAGGATCCATTGATATGTCGGACCCAGTATCGACGAGTTCACAGGCTCCAACGGTGCCATGCCCCACTCCGTTGTTCGTAAGTTTCATAGGATTACGAAGTTTTTGAACATCCACGCGACTGGTGCCGACTGCTGAGCTCCCCGATTCCTCTTGCAGGGAGCTACCAGCGGGAGCCCTCAGGGACGCGCGACGAGTTTCGAGCTGGGTGAACTCCACCGGCAAGACAGTTCTTGTCAATTGGATCATCCCGACTTCATGCATCAACAGAGATCACGTAGCATGGAAACGAGAACGTCATCAGTCTGCGTCACTGTCACTAGTCCTCGGCCTGAACGAAGAGCGTTCCTATTGAAAGGCTGTTCTCCGATGAGTATGCCATCGTCGTCGAGCTCAAACACCTTGACAGTCTCCGTTCCTTTTCAACAGCAGCAGCAGCTGCAACACTTTAGCTCAGGGATCGGTGAAGCGGCAGCAGCAGTAGCAGCGGCAGCAGGAGATAGACAAGAATTCCACAGCTCGTCGATACAGGTAAGTCATACGAGGAATTCGGATGTTGAGGATCTCAATTCAAAGCGACCCATCACAATTTGTGAGATCTGTTTCGACAGAGCCCATGAAGCATTTGGAGTTCTTCCAAACGATCGGTCTGTCTCCCCCAGATTCCGGCGGTATCGGCTCCAAAGACGCTGTCTCCCCACAGTCCGCCGTCGCCGCGCGCTTTGCAGAAAACTCAGTTTTTGCAGAGCCCCAACAAACCCCCGTTGCTGAAGACAAAAAACGTTTCCGGATTGGTGACGCATAGCAATCCTCCTTCTGAGGGACCGAGTCCTGTTCACAGCTTGGATAACAGTGAACCCTTATCACAATCGACCAGCTCACCGGAGGTAGATACATAGAAGCCACGAACCGTCTATCGCGGAGCCTTTTCGCTCCGAACGGGTAATAGCCTGCGACGCGATGACAGAAGACTGACGGAATGATTTTCATTCAAACAGCATGCTCGGCTTCCTGTGGCCGTACCTGCAGTTGTTTCGGCCGAAGCGCCCGCTATCCCGGGACAAGAAACTCCAAGAACTACTTGTCCTGTCGCAAGCTCAGAAGAAATAGCCTGTACAAAAACGCCAACGAGGGCGGCAGCGACGACGTCGACAAGCTCACCCGTCGACGTCAAGAGGAAGGAGGATCGAGAGAGGCCGTGCAGAGACTTGCCACCACCACCTCCGAGAAGAGCACCCAGACCCGATGCAAGGTAGACGAAAGTGGAACGAGAACACCTTGTTTCTTCGGCTATCATTTTGCCATCATTCTCTGAGAGCTGTCGTTCATCCGAAAACTCCCTCCTCCCAGCAGGCGTCATCATACTGCGGACTCGTTCGAGCACTTGAAACAAAGCCGCGACGCTTCCATACACAAACGACTTTCCTGGAATTGTGGACAACAACATTCAGAGACAGCTGTACCCTCAATGGTACCAGGGGGAGCCGCGAGAGTCACACCCCAGCAGCAGATGGTTTCTGACTTGCGCTCCCGGAATCAATGTCTCAGTTCAGGTGCGCTCAACGACCGTGTGATCTTCCCCGCACTATCCGACGATACACCAATATAATTCTTCCGTCGGTGCTACCTACTTACGACAGCAATGATTCTCTTCAGAGTCGGTGTACAGCTCGAGCGGAGTTAGTAGTACAGGATCTCTGTTGTTCAGCGCAGCTGATGAACCTGCGGGTGCCAATTCAGCGTCCGAAGGATATGCATTCCCCCAGCAGACCATCGTCATTAATGGAATTGACCCCTTCGAAGACGACCCCATTCAGGTGGGTACGCATACGTCTCTGAAGGCGCAAAGACTTCCGACTGAGAGTCCTCGATCCCTGATCTGGAAAGCAATCGACTTCACGATAAGGTTGACGATCCCACCGATGAAGTCCGGCTCACGGAAGCTTTCTAGGCTTCCATTGGCTCTCTCGTCTCAGGAAGACCGGGGAATGATGAGAATCGTCAAAATCATCTTCCACTCAGATTTGACCTCCGAAAAGATTATGTCTCGAGCTCTCGGAATGATCATGTTATCCCGAAGATCGTAGCAGGCAGAGAGCGCAGGCTCTCAAACACGGAAATCAGCCCCTGCGTTCAGAGTCCACCATTTTCAGCAAGATCTGAAATCAATGAGATGTCGCCTCCATACATTAGATGCAGTGGATCAGAATTGGTCTCCTCAATGATTGACTACCCCGCAGGAAGAAGACGAAACTTCTGTGGCGGACGAGACGCCACAACCAGTACCCGTCGGAAGGCATCATCCTCAAAAGACTCAGAGGCCCGGCTTCAACGGAGGGAGTCAGGGAACACGGATCAAAATAGACATATCCGAGGTGAAAATATGAACAACGCCGTCTGAAGACCTTCCTACGCTCCGACTCCCAAACTTAGTAGCCGGAAGCGTCTCCCTCTATCTTTACGTTCGTGCATAATATGGTTTGTTTTTGCCGTTTTTGCTTTGCTCCTGCATCTCAGTTGAATTTACATTCTCAAAATGTTATCGAGGACGCCTTTGACAGTCCGTATGTGATCCGCAGGGAGACGATGACTATCGACGAAACAAAGTCAAATGTTTGACATTTTGAAGGTGACCGAGTCGGCGCCAATTGCTGGAGCTTCCCCACACACAAGGAATCAGTTCGTTCCATCTGTACCCGTGGACCCTCACCGAAAGGGAGTAGATACAGCTTCTCAACGGACCACCCAGACGAAAGCTGCGGAAATTCTCGAAAAAGCCGTCGATGTGACATCCCACACGAGGGGTCATGAAATTGAACGACAGAGTGAGGATCTGCCAAATTGAAAGGAGTCACAGTTCTCGATGGCGGGTGCTCTCTGGACCTTTTCCCGTGCTGAGAGTTTCGGAAATTCGAGATAGATTCTGCGAACGATTCTTATCTATTCCAGAGACGCCTGACCTGACCTCCTGAAATTCCGATCGATCGATCCATGCCGCACGAGAGACGAGGCCTTCCCGTCGATTTAGAGTCCCTGTCAGCGGACATGCATCTGCTCCTGCGGTAGTGATTAAGGAGTCCCAGCTCGTTGAACGAGTGTCAGAGTCCGATGCGCCGCACCCACCCTCTTGCCCCCGTAGACGAAATCGCTCTTTGATGAGATTTATTCGGGATCAGTTTTTTTCTGATCACCAATACAGACAGTTGACTTAGTGTGAACGTTTACATGACTCCGCAATGTATATAAGATGTACCGTTGCGCTGCCTTACTTGTTGAAAATGTACAGAGGGACCTAATTGAGCTCGCATCGTGATATTCATCGTGGTCGATGCTCGTGCGTCGAGGACGACTCGCCATGGAGGGCAAAGCTTTGGCCCATGGAGCTTCTTGGAGAATTATTGGGGTAATTCAGCCAATCGACAAAGAAATAATCCCGAGTACGGATGTATCTTGGAGTCTACCGGCTCAACCTATTCTGAGGGTCAATCCAGGGTTCTCAATGTTCTCTCCCGATGTTTGATGAAGAGCAAGGGAATCTCTCGTAGGAGATCGGTGCTGATCAGATTCGGACTCCCAATGATTGGTAGCGGGGAATCGACCAACGCAAGGGATTTTTCAACAGTAGTCTCGCTGTAGGTTAGAATCGTGCCCGAACTGACGAACGGACCATTGCAGAAGTTCTGACTATATTATAGATTTCCGGGGAAGCAACGTGAATATGGTCGTATATTGAAAAATTTCGCTGTGCCGGGATAGGCTTACTGTACTGGAATGGAGCCTAGCGCCTCCTGGACTTCTCTAACCACCGGTCGCGGGACCTCCAACTTCTATTAGGCGTTTTGAATTATTCGACCCGATATGTTCCATGATGAATCGAGGAGTTTTGAACCTTCCCGGCAGTGAAATTTTCTCTGAACGACTCTGTGCTCTATTCTCCTGTCCCAAGATTGTTTTCCTTTTGAATCATGGACCTTCCAACACGTTCGAGACGTATGATTCAGAACACGATCGTCTCTGGATGGGCTCGGCAGAGGATAAGACGCGGTAATATTTCGTTCCTAGCTTGTCGGGCCGATTCTGGATCGGCAGCCAAGAAAAGCCATACTCGTGACCCGTGAGTTGAATCAGGAAGTTCGGTGATGTAATATATGCGACGCGGGTTCGGTCGGGTACCGACGCTGCAGCGTGCCCGAGCATCTATTGACCGAAATTAGGCTGGAGAACACGGAAAGCACTTGAAATGTACAAAGATTTAGCGAGGTATCTCGAACATCCCTCAGAGGATTCGGAAGTTTTAGCAGAACGCTAGTTTTCGTGGGGATAGACCCCGTGCAGGTGATGTAGCCGCGAGAGAAGCCACATATTTCGTTTGGATCTAGCACACTGAGGAACATCGGTACCCTAACTTCTCGTGATGATCTCTCACGCAGATCTCACTATTTGTAGCAAGTGGAGGGCTTGATAATTATTTATCTCTTCGAGTCATGTGGGTTCAAGCCGTCTGGATCCTCTTTATGGGACTATGCGGATCAAACACGTACACTATCCAAGCCGAGATCGAACTACCTTGTCCATTTCCGTAAGAATGGCTGAGCAAATCAAAATATTAAGTACATCCGAGGGAGCTTGATTTCCAAATACGAACTTCAATGAAGCGTCGTCAGATTCAACGTTCTCATGTGATTAGAGCGGAAATGAGGATATATGCAAGTATGGGGAGAGCTATCTGATGTTGATTGCTGAGCATCCTTATGTTCTTAGATTAAAAGAGAATTGACGATCATCTTTCTCTGTCATTTCTTTCCGAGCATTAGCAGCCGAATCCCTCCTGTGAGCTGACCTGAAAACCGAAAAGCTCGATAGCTCTCTCTCGAAAACTTTCCAATCCGACTCAGCCGTACCTTGCATCTCCGCTGAGGCACGGCCCCATATGAGCTGGCAGTTGACACATACATACATCAGTCACAAAATTTTGCATCCATTTTCAATCCGAGCCTCCAATCGCAGGAATCTTCTATCATAAATGCCAGCTTAGCGCACGGAGCGCTTCTGGATGTTGCCTAGAGACTGTCGTTTAGAACTTTCCGATTTTCTTAGAACACGGATTTCCTCATCCGCTTCGGGTTTCGCGCCAGTTCAACTTATGCTCGTTTCCACGTCACAGATGCCCTCATCGCCGGCCGAGTTCTCCCATAGATTTGATGAGATTCGTTCCTTCGCTCGTTCCTTTCGGATGTCAAATGAACAGCTGCTCGCTCGGAAACGGTAGATACTACTGAGTCGAGCCGTCGTTCCTTTAGTTCTCGTTGGAGCCGTAGGCGGCGCTCACATCTGACCCTCCGCATCGCACCGACCGTCAGCCCCTGCAGATGCCCCTGCAGGGGAGCCCTCTGGAGCTAAAGAGAGGTGGGGAGGTCCTCTCCTCTCAATCATCTATCCACAGCGTGGGCTGAGAAGGTCGTTCATCTGGATCGTACTCATTATCCGTGTATGGCCTGGATCCCTAAGAGTGGAAAAGCACCATTCGTCGATGCATCTGGAAGCGATTCCTCCCTCTATGAATAGATGGACGGTTGATAGAGAATGGAGCTGCGGCATACGGGCCTTCTCGATGGTACAGCCCCTCTCACAACGACCGGAGTCCCTCCATGGGACGGCTTTTGCCTCGGGGAGAGCTATCATCGGATTCCCGTCCCGATTCAATCCGCTCAGATACTCAAAATCTGGTCTTCTAATTCTTGCCCGAAAGAGCTGAAAGCAAAACACGCGGCTATGTTTTGCTCGAGGCGGGATATCTCCCCAGATCTTCACCGGGTCCAAGAGAGGAACTACCCCACGAAGGGTAAATTTCGATTCTCCGAATCGTCTCTTCGAGTCGCAAGAGAAACCAGCTCGCTTGATGGAGAGCAAGCACATTAAGCCTCCATCCGCTGTCAGAGACACTCTTTCCAATGGGATCCGGAGTTCGCAGAGTCTCAACCTTCGAATTGACCTTTTGATCTCCCACCTGCATCCCGCGAGATCCAGAAGATCTCATTTTCTAGCTTCGTTCAATCTTTCCCTGAATATTTTTTTCTAGAGCCCCATTCAGGCCTGGGAAGCACACGCCAGTGGTCGTTTTCCTTATGGGATTCATCGAACTGATGATATTGGGTTGAAATCTGCTCGTCGAGAACAACGAGCCATTCGACGACGATTGTCGCGATATGGACCGAAGAATAATTGAGCTCCACTTCGTCAGGCCATTCCGAGAATCGAGCATTGAGCCTGGAATATGAAAGTGAACACGTGAATGAAGAATGCTCGAGAAGACGGAACTCGGGCATTGGAAGTTTACGCTGATTTTGATCTTCGCAAAAATGAGTCGATTCTCACACCAACTCCGCGGCGCAGCGGGCCGGAAGGTTGAAACAGGAGTGTAAAGAATGTCTTTCGCTGGCTGCACGCATTTCTGAGTTCCGTCTTAATCGTTTCCGCATGGTGGAATATTCCGATTTGAAAGCTTACTCGGGTCGATTTGAGCATCAGATCGCAGCCAGACGTCGAAAAACTGCGTCTGGCAAACCCAAATGCCGGTTCCTGAAAAGCAGTATCGTGAGAGGGGGGGCAATCGGTAATCGACTCTGTATCCGGGATGTCGGTCTCTATCAAATGCTATCTGCCTGTACACAACTTGCTTAAGGTAAGTAAAATACGCGCCATTGGGCTGCAGTGCAACATTCTCTCCTGCATGGCGATGCCAGCCAAGCCACGTCGCGTCGCTCCAGCCAGCAGATTCAGTCGCCTGTTTACTCTGCGGGCTTCGTTTCCATCCATTCCCCCAGGAGGCCGGTCCTTCATAGTAGCTGTCCAACGCGACGCAGATTCTGCGCTTCCCTCTATTGTTCACGGGCGTCGAAGTTTCTTCCTCGTATGCGATGCTCGTTCATTTTTTGAGATACCCAGTGAAAGTTCGTCCTTTCGGAGGCAATCTCGAGGCACTTATTCGGGTACTCCGCAGACCCGTGTGAATGATCAAATTCTACACAACGGCTCCGAAGCTCCAAGACGAAGTGCCGGTGAGGCGGCAGCAGAAGTCCAAAGGGTTGAACTAGATTTCACATCACGAAACGATTGCCGAGCAAGCATTGAGGCCCTCCATCATCGGAGCCTCTGGAGTTTGCTGTAATGAGGCACTATTCATGAGACCGAGAGAGCTCTTGGAAGTCCAGCGTGGGCGTTCGTGAACGGTCCTCGGCAATCGGGAGTCGAGCATCTGGTACATAGGCTCCCTGAAGAACAATCGGCTCCGATAACGGCTTGAGTTCAAAGTCAAGAATGAGTTCAAGACAGAACGCGGTATATTTGTCTCATACCAATAACGACAGCCGAACCTTCAAAATATAGACTCCGACCCTAGGCTAGAGGACTGTCTGGAATCGATATCAATCATCTTGCGCGCCTCTTGCGCGAATTCGAGGTTGGTGAAGAGGCTTCGTGGAAGTCCGCGGCGTTGAGGAGATCCCATCGCGGTACGGACGTTCCCTTTATACGCAGCCCATCCTCCCGGTCCCTCACCGTTCTTCCGCAAATCAGCCGTGGAACTTGACGCCAGCTCATTCCGCGTCTCGCCAGATCTCTCCTGACGGGAGATTCCAATCCACTTTCAGGTGATCAGGATCTTTGCTCTCAATCTCGAATTCACGACATGGTTCGGGGAGAATCGGATGAGCACGGAAACGGTGCCAGCCTTCCACAAAAGCTAAATTGAGCACTGCGAAGGATTCCGTTTCCCCGACTCGGAGAAGGATACCGCGTGATAGATCTCTATGCGTGGAAGTCAGCTCTCCGATCAAGGCAAATCTAATATCGAAATACAGAAGATCTGTTCAGAAAACATTGGAAGCGGAGTCGTCGGAGTCGCCAAAGTCCCGATCCTGTGCCTTGAATGTCGGGCACGTCCGACAGGCGGTTTTGTTCCGATTTGTCTCGATCGCATCAATGATGGACTCAAGAGTCAAGGTTTATATTGAGGAAAGCACTAATAAGATGCACATCAATCCAAGGTCGGATTTCTGGGATATGGTGAGAGTCGAATTGACGTGAATGGGAAGGGGCTGATAGCACTGAGATAGAACGGAGATGAAGAGACAGGAGACGAATAGGGGAAATACAGAGACGGAATGTGGAGAGAAGTAGGACAGAGAGAAGGCATTTGAGGGGAGGGGAACGGTGTTGAGAAGGAAAGATGCGTCGGAACGGGATCCGATCCCCAGGCTTCCTCCCACCTTGCTCTCGCAAACCGCCGCTCGGCCTAGCTTCTCAAATACGAGGAGACCATCGAAGATTTGCCTTGATCTTGGGTCAAAGAAGTTCCGATCATCTCGAATCGAATACTTTGACCTTTCTTCGATTTCGCCGAGCTCGTTCGCAACGAAATCGCTCTCGATAGGGATTCCAGAGTGAAGCTGAATCCTTCCCAACATACAGTCTACATTTCTACATCGATCGCCCTATTCCCATTCACATTGCACTTGATTCTCATTCACATAAGACTCGATCCTCAGTAGTAAGGGCTCTAATATTCCTAATTCAGATTGATTGAACCTGCTCTGCTATTCAGATCATCGATCCAGTGTTCGCGGATAGCTCTCGACTCCCTCAAAGACTCCAAACGTGTCGTAATGAGATGAGAGAAACTGATAGAATACGGGGAAGACTCCCGCGGATGTTGCTGGCGATATTGCCGCCAACAGGGAGCTACAATTTATTAAATCGTGCACGGCGTGACAATCCCGTAAGATCAATCAGCCTCACTTTCATTGAATCGGCGAATCTCATTCTGGATACCACTTAACTGGCCGAACGTCATGGAGAAATCTGCATTAAGTCGTCGTATGGGGCTGTGTCCAGGGCTTTTTCCTCAAAGAGACAGGATCGCGCGGAATCTCGCAATGCGTGTAGTGTCACATTGATCCACGGGAGATAAGAAGTCACGGTAGCGTAACCGCCGAATGGTAGGCCTTCTGTGGCGCAGCCCACGCCGAATGATGTGATTCCGACGATCTCAAACCTGCCGTCGCTTTCACGGCGCTGGATCAGAGGACCGCCACTGTCACCCTAGAAGAATAATGCTCAGATCCCCAGGTCAATCGATTATGATTCCTATTCGTCCCTATTCCTATCCATTCCTTATGACTCCCGATAATCCACAGACTTTCAGCGAAACGACACTCCCAGAAACTCATGACTTACTTGACATGCGTCCTTCACGTTTTTCCGAATATCGCCGGCACAAAACTGAATTTTCGGATCGAAGTCCAAGAATGATGAGAACTGCTTGCTGCAATTGGCGATCGATCCTCCCGTTATTTCAATTTGCATTAGAACATTTGTCAAAACTGGAAAGAGCAAATACGTGCGTGGATGCTTGTTAGGTTGATTTTCTGAGATAATGAAGGAGTCGACCCTTCGGAACGGTTTCTCCGGAACGATTACACAGAAAGACGCTGGAGGCTCTCGTATTCACCTATTTGGAAAGGGTCCACCGATCCCCAACCAGCAATTATGAATCGGCGATCACTCATATTCATCGGCTCCTGTCCGAGGCCTTCGGGAAGGCATAAAGTGCGCAAGCGTTTCCCCGTGATATCCACTGGCTCGCTGGATATAGTTCATAGTTAGTACAGCAAATTATCGACGATCCTGCGGGTCATAGATCGCCTCGACATAAATAGTGTTACGTGAGCCTGCAGAAAGAAAAAACTCCTCGGGGATTAAGTCCGGGTTATCATGGCGTTTCATTCATGAAGCTTTTCTGGAGCCAAGTCAGCTGCGTCCCTACAACTGCCTGGGGATTTGTATTGAACGAATACAGCGGAATCTCGTTACCACGCCCACCGTCGCAACGAATTTTCAGAACAATTAGCACTTTTGCTCCTTCGTTGGCAGGCGTACCGTGGAAAGCGTGTTGAATAACCTTCCTTACAGCGGATATTCATTACGACGATCGGATTTCGCCGGTCCCGCGGGGTTCGTTTGAGCGAGATTCTACTGTGGAATCGGTGGAAGGATTCCTCTGATAGATCGGATTCCAGATTCCACAGCAAAATGGAGTGAGCTCCCCGGATGAGGGTTACTGATGCTCGGTGATGCCAACATCCGGAATCTCACGTCGGGGAAAGGGATGGAAAGTCTCGGTAATCTGTTCGAGCATCTGATTCGGGACCCGTGAGAAATCATTTTTATCCATGAAGGCTCTAAAGCATCGCGGAAATTCATCGAAGACGGGAATCAACAGAGAGCTGGGGCAGGAGGTCTTTGTCAGATTCGGGGGGATCGGCAATTTCCATTGGAGGGAAAACGTACAGGCGGTGCAGTTTTGGCAGGAGAGCCGTTGCCGCTGGAGTCTTCGAAGCACTTTCAGTGATCTATGATATGACCGGATTCATGGAGAACTAGGATTGCTCAGAGGAACATTCAGGCCGCGCGCATGGGACGAAGTATGGGAAAGAGTCACCAAGTGCGACCATTCCAAGAGAGATCACACACACTATGAACCCTGACGTGCAGATCGATATCATGCTTTTGCAATGGAGTACGTCTCCCGTCTTTCTTTCCGATATCTTTCCCGCTCCGGACGTTCGCATCGAAGATGGATGTTTATTCTCATCCACCTGAGCACGACCTCGTTTCTCAGCCAGAACGAGTCTAGAGATAGCGTCAAGGCAGCGAGCGAGTGCTCGATAAAAGACAATCGGACCTCAGCCAGAGTATTCCGAAAAGAAATCGTAGTCCCTACATTGGGCATGAAATTTCGACCCGAGCCGCCGGACGCCAAACTAGACACGGAAAATATCGCGGACCTTCTTCCTTGGTGGATCGGAAGGGAACCTAGGCTTATGATGCGGAGATTCGGACGGAGAGCTCCCGGTCACGAGCAAGCTCCGGGCAGAATAAATCCTTTAACATGAATTCGACACTATGCCGAAACGCGAGAGATCGATCTTTACCGCTCATGACGGGCCGTCTCGTTTGACTCGAAGCTCCTGTCAGCCGAACAGTATGACGTACATTACGCCGTTTTTTAAGGCCAGATCATATTCCGAATCGAGCTCTTTAATTTCGCTACTATCTATCACTTCCGAGGCCTTGGTGGACAGGAGACGTCATGCTCTTTCGGGAGACAGATCGAAGGCGTTGTCAGGGGATGCTGGAACTCGATGCCTCCTCGGGGAACCCTATCTCAAGCTTCCTCGGTCGCCTCGGCGTCTCAAAAAGACGCCCTCAGACCTCATTCACCCGAAGTCAGGATCCTCATCGAATGAGTCGTTTGCGCCGTCCATATCGTGCGGCGGCGAAAACAGATGCCAGCTTAAATTACAGATTTCTGATCGTGAGTAATGTTGGCACACGATTATGACCCCGATGATGCGACTCGGAGGCTTCCTCTCCGCACGTCATTCCGTGTTCCTGGAGAGCGCGGGTGCTCCAGAGAATACTTTCTTCACGATCATCATTGTTGTTATCGTCGATCATCGCGAACTTCCTCTTCTTGACAGAGGTGGTTCTGTGCTTGATCTGTCCCAGAGTCCAGAGCGCATCAGATTCCTGCAATCGTCAGGTTCTCTTGAAGAGAATTTGATTCTTGTCGGATCGCGGTGCTTCACAGAGTATCGTTCGCTCCCCGACTCCTATGTGAGTCCTCCTCCTAGCTGCTGGACCGGAACACACGGCACCCGCTGATCACATTCTCACAAAGACGCGGCTCCGAAGATGCCCTCACGAATGACACACAGTGTGGAAATCGATCGAGAAACAATCTCAGACTGACTGAAAACCGGAAACGAGAGCTCGCTCAAGTTCAGGAGCTGTGGGGCGCTCCTCCCGACCGATTATTAAGTTGCAACTCGATACTGGTCCGAAAGATTTGTCCTTCGGACAGGATCACCTTCCGAGCTTGTCTGCAGAGGCTTGATGTGCGATGAGAAATGATCAACGATTGCAGATGTCGAAGAAGGTAAGTCCCCTCACCTCAGCTCGACTAGCGCGATGTCATTGTGGAAATTACTCGCTACGTATTGAGCATGCGTCGCTACTCGACAAACGCGTCGGACGACACGCTGTTCCGTATCCGTCAAATTATTCGTACCCATCACAGCGAAAAATCTGAAACGAGGGAGAGCGTGGATATCGGAATGGCTGATAATGACGCATCTGCCATAAGAGCAACTTAACGTGAACTGTGTTGCTTACGCTGCTTCGCTCAATTTATCCTTCTCGTCGTCTGGTCGAAAACAATGGGACGCTGTCAGCACGTAGCGGTCGGTGATGAGAGCCCCCCCGCACTGGAAAGCGTTTTCCCGATACAATGCCACCAGCCATGGATGTGAACTCTCCGCAGCATCCTTTCCATTGACTATACGAAATGATCGACTGAACTCGAGGCCGCATTCGTCATTGTCTGTATCGGAAGGGAAAACCTTGAGGCATTTCGATTCGAACGAATGTGGCCAGCGTCAGCCATCAATGCCCTCATATCGGAGCAGGGTCACCGAGATTCGCACTTGTTTCGTGCTGAGTGTCTTCGTGCTCAGTGAGAGGGAGGCTACAGCACTGATGTCCGTTCCGACAGGGCTTCGCTCGTGGTGCATCCGCAGGTGATACATTGAGGAGGTTGCCGAAGTCCTCGGCGTCGCTGCAGGACGGGAAGCATCCACCGAGTTGATTATCCTTAGTGATGCAGACGTACTCGACCGGAAATCCCGAAACGATTTCTATTGTGAAACATCAGAAGAACAAGCTGTTGCAGAATATGCCCCGAGATGATACTGTCTAGGGTAGCGCCTAGATATCTAGTGCCTCGCTTGCAATCGCAGCATTGAAGTATGATGAGAGCATTCCACTAACCGAACGCGATTATCGTCCAGAAAGTGCCTCGAATCGAAAAATGAAACCGCATAGCCTCGAACACTTCCTGGGTTGCCAAACACGCCACTAGGGATGACACAACTGAATTCTTTGAGCTATCTCAGAATACATTAGGGAAAACGTGAACATGAATTTGAACGGCTGTGACGTCGCCTCATGTTAACTGCTTCCATTCTCGCCATAATAAATAAATATGGTGTCGTCGAGTTACGTTTGAGGTCACGTCCGTGTTCCATCACGGCAGCCATCGAGAGATTTAGCTCGTCGATGTATTACGTAGCAGACCTCATCCCGGACGATGAGCGACCGCATGAGGAGATGGCGTTCCTCCCTCGTTCATGGAATGTTGCTCACGTGGAGTTGGCAAGAGCTCCCTGAAATACCCGCTCACGAAGCGAGGGGCATTTGCGACTCCTTTCTTGTCCTTGGTAAGGTACCTACTCTCGTGCTAGACAGGAGCGCGGGCGATGATCGCGCTCCCCGACGGTCTCTTTGAGTTATGCTGGCGCCCTCAATCGCATCGCGGGATGGGAAATGCTTGAATGTTGTCCAGCTGGAGGGAGTTAGAGTAATGAGAACAAGGTGAGAGTCGACGGAAGCGTAGTTTTGATTCGCCTTCCCGATAAGCTCTTCTTAACAGACCCCTCATTGAATGGAACTTCATTCGACGCCGCTAGTGTGCCTAGAGCCATCGGGAAAGAGAAAAAATTCGTTTGTCACCTCTCGGAGAGGGCAATGCACCATCTTCACCTTTGGCCCAACCGGGAAGTGGATACGGAATCGTAGGTGCCTATTGGTGCTGTCCGACTTTGGTTGGCTATGAAGAACTGTCGACCAGGAGCTAGCGCCCGTTTCACCTCAGATATTGTCTTTTTCGCCGCTCGTGGCACCTCTCGCGAGCTCCCAGAAACGGCCAATGGGGGAAAACGTCGAATGCACTGTAAATTGAGCACGCGATACGATCTCTATCCTTATCCTTCCGAGCTCCTATCAGGCCAACGAGCACGTCTGCGCCACTTTAAATGAGATATCATTACGGGATCACGAGATAAAGGCGTGATCGAGTGCTCTTCGAATTCCTATCCGAGAGAACGTCACGACAGGAGAGAAGCACCCGCGGAGAGATTCAGTGTTCCCACAGATGGGACTGAGGTGCAAAACGATTAATTCGCATGATCGTGAACGACCCAAAAAAGTCTATATGGCACGAATGTTTTCGGGTCGTTAAGCCGAACCCGCCGCTTCCTCATCTGCAAGAACATTCCCGAACGACACCCCTCATCGATTCGCGCCGTGGGAATGATCCACGCATCAGCCATTCTTCGATGACTGTCGCCGGAGGGCGAAGGTTCAGTCAGGCTCACTGGAAGTTTCCATTTATTGATCTTGCACCCCAGCTTCGAAATTCCGCCTTGCCATTTTTCGTCTCCGAACTCCAAGCTTCTTTCGGAGCCGAAAGGAGTCTAGTCTAGCGACGGCGTTAGACTCCTCGATCGGTCACCATGCTTTTCGTCCCGGACGAACCCTCGAGCGCCAGTCAAATCAAGAGCCAGATGGTCGTTGAGGAGGATGACCTTCCATTTTTATTGAAACCGAGTTTTACAGCTGGAGCTTCATTCGGAGATATTCAATCGGAAAGAAGAACCGAACCACCGTTGACATAACCCACAAAGGAAGCTCTTTGTTGTTTTTTTCCGGTGTCACCGCTGGATACGTCTCGGCAACAAAGGAAAACATCCGCCGTAAAGCTGCCGAAACAATGCAGCGGAAGATTTCCGATTCACAAATGATTGACGAACGTTGAAGTGTCGAGAGGTTCCGAATAGCCAGCTAACAACATCAAGACGACACATGGAAGAACCCCGAACGTCGATGCAATTCCGCAGTCTCGCTTCGAAGAAGTGGTGACTCCTTCCAAGCACATAAGTCGCGTTGAGAAGATCATATTTACTCAGCTTTCGCGCAGCTCATTTTCTCCTATGAAACCCTGACGCAGGCGGGAATAAGAAGCGGAACATTGTTCGGGTCTCGGGGATACCAATCTCACGCTACTTGCCGTTCCCCGAACGTCAGAAAAAATTGTCATCCCAAAGTGGAAGGGCATCAAAATAGCGTCTCGTCACTCAACGAAAGAACATCGAAGCTAGCTTCCGACGTTTTTACAACAGATGCGCTCTAGTAAGCGTGTGAATTGTCTTTTCGATGCAAATCCACGCCTATGAAATAATGCGCATTGACAACAAGCAGGGTCGGATTTCGGAGAAGAAGTTGATAAAACTTCAGGATTGGCCCCGAAACCTCGGCCTAAATACAGTGGCTCGAGCGAATGACGGAATACAACGCTCGAATAAATGAGCTGATTTCTAGTCGGAGCAGTTTCAACTTCGAGGAAATGCAGGCTTCCGCAGGCGACGCTGCGCGGAGCTTACGATCCGGTTTTGGCACATCTGAGGTGCCTTGAGGTCAGCACGATTCTGTCCGTTGTTTCGCGACTGTTCGCGTCGAGAAACCAAAGAGCATGAGCTTGAGTCAGAATAGAAACGGTGCACTCTAATCCGTTATGCACACAATTCCATTAAGCCCAACATGACACGACTAGGATGACGTTCCCGAATTCCGTAACACAGGTCTGTTGATCCATCACGTAGTGTCGAAATGACAAACCTCCTGTCCAAATGAACGAGCTTATTTAACGGAAAAAGTATATAGCATGTATGATGCATATGACTTCGAAAACTGCGGCGAGCGGATCCTGCAAAATCCATCGCCCATTTCACGGAGCGCTTCTGAATCGCTCTATCGCTGAGCATTTTTCCTGACTTCCCGACGCGTGGAGCGAATTTCTGTGGACTGTAACCCTGACAATCATATCCGCTATCTGAAGAAGTTCCTCGGCGAAGGAACATACAATGAAGCAAGCTTCGAGTAATCCACAATAGCACAATGTCATAAGGGCTTCTATAACGACACGTGCACACAACTACCCCGTGAGGAGCGCTGGATCGCGTATAATAAATTCGCCAGGCCGCTCTCTTCCTGCTTCGTCCATTCATGCCCTTCGCGAGTCGGCCACTCATTCGAAGCTCGAAGCGAAACACAAACGGATGGGACGAGAGTCCGACGAATGAATATGATGACGAGAGCCACTTCGAAGATCTGCGCTATCGAAGGTGCGCAAGCGCGCGCACCCATCAGTGCCAAGCTTTCTGTACACGATGATGCTCTTGTTTTCTCTTGATGTATACCGGCACCGGAACGTAGACCGGTTTTTTCACAATGAACTTCTTGTAGATAGGGACTTCCACTGGGACCGAGAACGGTCTCGGCACCATTATGATTTTGTGAATCTTCACGGGGACGTATTTCGGAATTTTCAATGGCACGGGAACGTGCACGACTTTCTTCACTGACATGTTCTTATAAACTGTGACTGGGTGACGTTTGAATACTGGATACGGAATACCGATTTTCACAAAGTGATGAGAGAAACTCGGCTTAGGGATTCCAATCATTTTCATATCCTTCACGAACTTCGGCACCCTCTTAACTACTGGAACTTTCACCGGCACCGGAACTGGCTGGGGCACATGTACAATTTTCTTCACCGGATAGTACTTGGGCATGGTTACACGATGCGGCACTTCCACGGGTACCGGGATAGGCACGACTTTATGAACGTATTTTATGACTTCATCGGGTCTCCAACCCTGGCCGCCGCCTCGGCCCCCTCTGTGTGCACCGCCTTGGCTTGCGCTGTTGCCACCATGCTGAGCTCCTGCATGAACACTGGCTACGAACGCGAATAACACAAACCAGCCCATGTGAGGGAGTGGGTGTGGGCCTCACAAGAGTTCTGTCTTCGAAAGTTCCACACGAGAGAAGTCTTCCGGAGTCTCAGGAAGCTCCGACTTAGCTTGGGACCGCGGCTCCGACCGGATTTGAACTGCGGCGTGGTGAATCGCGCCCGGGGCTTTTCGCTGATGTGACTTCGGGCTTCTCTCCTGCGTCTTAGGGAAGAGGGAATGCTCCCGGGGTTACCACCTCCAGCATCATCGTCTGGCTCCAGCGGACAGGCTCGGAAGAGGCTATTGGTCTTGTAAATATTTACTTCGGAAGAGTTGAGTCGTCAAATAGCCAACGTACCGGAAATTCGCGGGCTCCCACTTCATGAGAGTCTTCCCCATGTCGAAAATCTTTCGCTTATGCGGCGCAACGGCATTGAATCGGCTATCGACTATGCCCTTTATTTGATTAACAAGATCCGGGTGAGCTCTAGTCTTCAAAAATGAACGAAAGCGTCGCAGGCGGTGTGGAGGAGCGTCGAAGGATAATTGGCCCCCCCTTTCTGAAGCTCTGTTCGCGTATTTCATCGCAAACGTTTCCGTAAGCGTCTTACCAAGACAAGGTAAGCGCTCTACGCTTCCCAGAAACTGATACTAGTCCATTGTTCAAGGATCCGAACTTAGATTGATTCGAGCTCTCAGGCTGAGCATCCTAGGCGGCTTCAGAGGCTGCTCCGAGTTCTAAGAAGCTCTAGGGATGCTCCTGCCACGAAGCCCAGCGCTAGTGAGGCAGCCGTGAGGTTTTACTTGTAGTTCGGGTGGATGGAATCGTAAACCACCGCAGTACAACTCTCATTGGGGTCAGATTGAGATCAGGCCTGTGGTCCGAACAGGGAAACCAGCCGCATTATCTGATCGGTGCACGGAACTTGGATGGCAGGTTCTCGGATAATTTTCCATTCCAGGGGAGTCGGTGCTTCACATATCCTCTATCACTTTGAGTTCTTCGATGACACGATGAGTCAGGGGAGGAAGACGCTCTGAGTGAGACGATTCTCAAGTCGGTTCTTCTTTCTAACGGGGGCACTTACGGTGGCCGATGAGATGATTCGCTCGAGTTGAATCCCCCTCGAGTTGAATTCTCTAGGGAATTCGTAGGAGCAGGTGTCACAGCAGGATTGAAACAAAGATGAATCGGAGATCTTCCCCAAAACACCTATCCGCAATGATGAGCAGGGAAATATTCTGTTGATCCCTCACACGAGATTCGAGAAGTTCGAAACCAATAATACCTCTCACGCGAGCCACTGTTGGTGCACTGCGACGGAGCGATATTCTTGAGAGATGTGATGTAGATACGTCTGACGCGCCCGTGAAGCTCACCCCGCCCGCTGATAATGTCCGCATGGGGGTACTATCGCTTGCCGATATCTAACCGAATCGGCTAGGAGCAGAATCCATGGTAGGTATGCACCTACTTCCGAAACTTCTCGTTCCCTTGTCGAGGAAATCACTGGGTTTCGATATTGTTCCGTGAAAAGGATCGATCGAGCCGAAGCCAGGCAGCGCATCCATCCGGCCAATTCGTGCGCCACGCCGCGTCGCAGGTGGCGAGGTTACGGTGGAGATTTCCGCTCTGTGGAAGGCTTCTCCCGCGAGGCTACCCTCGAGTTGACTGGGCTCGACCAGATGCCGTCTCCCGCATTCCGGGCTCGATGCTGCCGATCCCGACGACGTGCGTTTGCCTCCGGACTCTGAGGAGGCAGGTTCACCGAATGTCGTGAGGACTCGCGATCCGACCTCTGCATCTTCCAGAATGGAGCTTCCCGCCTTTCGAGAATGGGCCCCCTTTGCTGCTGGAATGGGATAGATTTTGAAAAATACAATATTCCGTCAACGTATGAAGATCAGACGAAAAGCAGACGGAGGAAACCCAGTCAGAGTAGACCGGGGGCATGAGCATCTTAGGCGACCACCTATTGTCAATCTTAAGCATCTGAAACGAGGGCCTCACTTCCTGGAGGCGACGGTTTAGACTTGTGAACGGTTTGAGCTGCACGACAGATGAGCGTCCGTTGTCCAAAACGGTATTCAATAAAATAGCCCTTGAAGCCACGAGCCACCATACAAATAGACGAACGCTGATGGAGGTCTCAGGGTCACTGCTCAATTGCGCAACATTAGCGGGAACAAAGGGTAACCATCGGCCATAGTCAATACTTTTCCTTTAGTATTTCCGATGCCAACCCGACCGTTCCTTTTGATGAGACAGTGCAGCAGATCGCCAGGAGACTCCTGGGAGACGCATTCTGAACCCGATCATTATTTTCCTAGAGACATCCCGCGGCGCGGCACGGCGGGAACCGAGAAGTGCAAAGCGTCTGTGAGAAATGATTCCTGGAGCTCCCCACGTTCCATCGCTGCAAGCTTTGCAAAGTTTCTCCCATGAGTTTCGAGATCGATCGAGCTTCGGACTTTCCCCGCTCGCGAATCCGTTCTCGAATTTTCTGTACACCCGTCATAGTGAGCCTCCTGGAGCTGAATCTTAGAAGTCAGAGGCACCATCTCTTGAGTGTCATTATTCAGCAAAATCCCCTTACGACGAGCCCCGCGGAAACGGCGAAATAATTCCCTTGTCATGGATATATGCTGTGAAAATCTTTTCCAACATAATCCTGGTGAAGCAGACAGAAGGAGGCAGAAATGAAAATTCCTTGCTCTGAAAATCCGTTGTGACAGTGCTCGTTGTAAGGAGACCCTACCTTATATACTTTCGAAGTGAAACACGGTATTCCCGGCTGCGTCGAGAGACACGCTCTTCTCGTGAGCGACTTCTCAGACCAGCATAGCTCGAGCTACGTTTGGCGACTCTCGAATTGCCGTACTGCCCGCCTCTCTGACCTGATTCCCGCTGCGGGCTCCCCCGAGCGAAGGGTCGCATTCCCCGCAGGAGACTCCGCGGTTGTCTCCGTTATGAATTCGCTGCGGCTTCCCTCCAGGTTTTCCTCAGACATTCCGAGAAGAACGTCTCGTCCCGACTGGAGGTGATGTTCAGTTCCGGGGCCCAATTGGTCGGAGATCTCCAGAGCTTCCTCTCGAGGCTTGCGTGAGTCGAAAATGATAAGTGTCGCTTCTGACGCCGCCTCTCGGGGCTCGCTCCCGGCCGACACATGCGGCCGACAAATACATACTTCATCCTCTCCTCGAGGGAGGTGACCTCGGCATTGCTGCCCCGGGGAGAATCCGTCCGAAATCCACTTCCGCCACCGGGGGGGCGGAAGAAGTGGATACCGATCACGGCGAGCCTCGACCGCGCAATACGGTCAGAACTTCTACAGAGGTGCCGATACATGGGAGAGTTCTCGAATATTGGGTACTTAACGCATATCCCAGTGAAACACTACGCTTTTGTTCTTTTCGCAGAGGGCCGCGTAAAAAGACAAAAAATCCTGCGGACGGGAGGCGCACGGTATGCGGGCGATAGGCGCTTCCCCTCGCCTGAATCGGGTACCTATCAGAATTTCCGGTCACAGGTGTTCCCATTCATCACGCTAGCGATACCTGAGCTATGAGGAAGTTTTTGATCACTAGATCCGATCAATTAGCCCTCGGCGCAATCGGAATTCCAAGCTGTGGCGAGCCGAGTGACAAACCGACAGCTGGAAGGGAAGACCTGTGAAATACTCGTTGTCCCGCCGGCTGCTTCCCTTGAAGAAAGCACTGTGATGATAAAGCGACGCCTCCGTCAAGAATAACCATAGGCTCCTGCCACTGCAGCGTTGTCAAGCAAAGCGGAAGAATGGCGAAACATCTTAACAGACGCTCAGTGGGCTCTTCATCTTTCCAGTCGCGTCAATGCTGGCTGTGCACCACTCGCAGCTCCAGTCTGGTGCGGGGATAGCCCGAAAGAGACGCGGCCGCTGGGCGACAAGGACTTTTTCGGGAACTTCGGATCGAATGGAAGGCGAGTCGTCCCCCTCGGCTCAGCGGACCTTCGAGCTCATCTCGTTGACGTAGGAGAAGATCCGCTGAATCCCCCAAAGCAGCGCTATGGAGCTCAACCTCAAGATTAGGACGATGACATGATGTCCAACGACGACAGAAGCATCGGATGGATTCGAAAACATCAGATGGAGATGGAGAATCGAGATGAATGAGCGGATATGAGATGGGGGATCAGGGGCAGACGGGGATATCGGAGGGGGAACTGGAGAAGAGACAGAAATGGAAACATGGAATGAAGGTTCGAATACGGAATGAAGATAGGATTCTGGGATCGGAGGGAATCAGATTGGAGATGGGGAAACGCGATTGGTGTGGGGGTATGAGATGGGGGAATGAAACAGAAATAGGAATATGAAATGAAGATTGGCATATGGGATGAAGACGGGGATATGGGAAGAAGACTGGAATGAATATAAGCTCATGGAACGGAGCGGACTGTGGAATTATTGTTGAACTCTCAGCCTAGAAGCAACTGAGAAGGGCTTATGTACGCATGCTTAGATCTCTGTTTTCATCACTGCTCGCCAACCCCATTGCATTGACACCTGCTCGCGGGTCCCTCCGATCATTTGCTCCTTGCGCCCGTTTGAAACTCGCAAACAACAATAGAACAAGCCGGATGTCCGTTTTGACGACAAGTAGCGGGATAGGACAGAAGAGCGAATCTGGTCCGATTTTTCCGGTCATTCCGGTGGGATTAGTCCGGGTTTTTTGGTGCGGATTTCTCCATCGAGATGCTTTACTCATCTAATTAAGGCCTCAGTGTCTGACTTTCGGAAGTGCACGAGAAAGCGGGATCAAGCGAGCTCCCGCTGACGGACCTTCCATTTCCGGTTTTTCGATTTTCAGTCGCCAAACGGTGAAGTTTCCGACTCCAGCAGGGTTTTGAGGGAGAAGTTTCATGGATGACCGAAGAGAGATGAACCAGCCGGTTCGGATCATTAGGAAAAGTCATGCCCCCGATCATGGATGAGACACTGTAATGGCTGTACGGCAGCTTTGCGGGGACTCACTTTCTAGTCTCGAATACAGTG